CGTTTTTAACAAGCTTGGCATACGTTGAATATATACAACGTTAATTTTCACCAAAAAAAAAAAAGAAAGAAATCAATACGGTTGCGAGTTATTGTACAAAGGACATGATGTTATTTAAACATAGATCTATAAATAATGACGTTGTATGAAATAGGAAGGGGTCGTAATGCAAACACTTTATTATTTGCTTTATTCTCTTACTGTTTTTAAATGAATTATTCATTTCTTATTAAAAAAGATAGATCTATTTATATGCATAATTTTTGTAACAAATCTAAAATAACTTTGAAAGAAAATGTCTTTAGCAACACACAAATCAGCTTATTAACATACTAATACGTTTAAAAGTTACAACGACAAAAGCTATGGAATATGTGCTACATTTCAACATTGCTGTCTGGTATCTATTCTAATTATTTAATAAAGTTATATGAACTTTGTAATGAAAGAATGTTTCCCTGAACATGTTTCTGGGGGAGTATATCATTCAAAACTTATCCCAATCAAAAGTTAAATACCATTTTCTTCTTTTTTATAAATATATTTCATTAGGTGAAATACTCGTCTTGTGAATTTTAGTTGAGCGTATTTTGATATTTTGTAATGGAAATCATCAACAATGTTTAACTAACAAAATATTTCTGTATGATTCTAGTCTTTATTTATCTGTAATATTTGTATTTTCTCTGTAATATAAATGAGAGCATATTAAGTAGTTTGTTTATTCTATAGTTAAAGTCTTTATCTTTTGTAGTATGAATATGTAAATGTTTATTGGTGTGTGTCATGGAAATATGTTACCTTTTGCGCAGCTGATTATCTTGCGGCAGTAAATTCCCATCATGATCAAGAAATCGTTCTGGCCGGAATGTCCAAGGATCGCCCCAGACTTTTGGATCATGATGGACATACCAAACATTGGCTATTACCTGCAATTATAACGATATATAATATAAATAATCACTTAATTATTCATTTTAAGGCGAATTGTTGTGCAGGGATTAGATTTAGAAATAAACATAAACATAAATATTTTAGGAAATTATTCAACTTTTAGTTATGTTTATGTAACTGACTGACTACGCTATTCATATTGTTGGTCACCTTTCTACTAAAATGGAAAAATCGACAACTCATTTCAACCAGTGAACATAAATTCAAAAATTCAAAACTCGTTTATGAAAAGTATAATATATACTATCAAATCGCATACTTAATACCATGAAAACAGTTTAACGAGCTATTTATTAACATGTTTAATGTTTTTGAAGTGGAACTAAAATGTAAATATTGTTCACTGTTCACATCTAGATGTACGTAAATGAATCAAAAGACAAAAATTTTGATTGAAGTAAAAAACAAGAAGAGAAAAATAATATGTTTTGTTTCAAATCTAATACTACATTAACAAATACTTTACAAAAGTACCTTTAAATTGTTATTAAGGTCCGCCTATTTTTTCACTAACCAATTCATTATATTGATAAGATCTGTCTACGAAATTAACATTTTGTTACACTGCACAAACCATAAGCAAATTATTATAAATATAATATACTGTCTTTGTTTCAAGACCGCTAACTAAAATATCAAGCACACGAAAGTATATCAATTTTGAAAAAAAGAGCCTTCAAAACAAAGACAACAACTATATTTTTAATCAAGTAAATTGGCATAGAAGTTTTGACTCGAAAAAGAGCCGCAAAACAAAAAATAAAGTACATGTACTTTCTTTGTTTCAAACAAAACGCTAGCTTTGATATCAAGTACGAGAAACTGACATAAATTTTGAAGACAAAAGCGCCACAGAACAAACACAACAAACACATTTAATAAAGTAAATTGGCAAATAAGTTTTGATTGAAATGGTGTATGAGCTTCAAATGCAATTGAACTAAATGTAAAATTAATAATTCATTTTTTATATACAGACCGTTGTATTCGCGGCAATGTCGTAGTCCTCAAGCTTGATCTGGTATCGACAGAAGTGAGGCAATAACAACGGAACAGCATTTATATAGCGCTCCATTTCAATCTCGAAAGCTTGGAGGAATGTACACTTTTTCAAGGCAGCAAGTTCAGGATATCTGTCGTTGCCAATGTGCAACTGAAGCTCAGTTTGGATTCTTGACTGATATTCTGGATGATTCAGTAGCACAAGAATGGAATTCGTTAACAAAGATCGTATTGTTAACATACCTGAAAATATGATAAAAGACTTTGTAAGAAAACTGGATACTAATCAATGAAATGTCAGTTTTAATTTTTAAATCATTACAATCATGATCATTATCGCATCTTTAAATAAAGTCACTTTCAAACAAAGTAACATTTTAAATCACACAAATATCATATTGAATTAAATCATACTTACACAGGTAATGCAGTTGGACATAAAATACCATGTGAAGATAAAAAACATACATGTATTTCAAAGTGGATAAACCTACCTCCAACTGCTACCTCGGCTAATTGTCCAACTATTTTGTCGTCTGTGAAAGAAATTTGTTCACCTGCAGTCTTTTCTTGTCTCTGATATTCAAGATAATTGTTTACTAGACCTCTTGTATCACCAGGTTTAAAATTAGCCTGAATTATTTGGAAAAATTGGTAAGCACTAAGCAGCAAATGATACTTTACTTTTGAAGTTATCTTGCTCCCATTCTCTTCCACGCAGACTTTAAAATGAAAAGTCACATCGTTACGTTAAACTTAAAAAACCCCAAAAAACAAACCTATCTTATATTATAATAACTCTTGAAACTTAATTTATTTGTTTCTTAAAAGTTTTTGTCATCCCCAAATTGACACTTCCTTTTAAAAACATGATACATGAACAACATATATAAACATCTTTAATCGTTGTTCTTACCTTAATATTTTGAAAATATTTCTCTAACTTTTCAAAAGCTTTCCTTGCACTACGATATTGGCGACTGTATTTTCCTGGGAGGAATCGGAGGATCGGAAGTGCCAACATTACCACGTTAACGTTAGCATTGAGGAAGAAGTCTGCACCGTCCGCATGGTCCCAAAACATATTCCTGTCAAAGTCTATCTTTGAATCCCCACTAAGCTTCGGTTAAACAAGATAGTTGTTTATAAAATAAAATCTGTAAAAACTGACATCTGGTTTAGTTATGAAAATAAATGATGAGATTTATACTACTTGTGTTAACAATTCGGCAATGTTTTTATTGTGTACTTGTTAGCAAATACTATATGTATGAAAAACTATATTTATTATATACAAAATGAGACATTAAAGAAGGGATACTTACTAAAATTGATATAGTATTTGAAAGCGTAGAATCGATGATTTCTTGACAATAGAATAAATTGCCATCTTTCTGTTGTATTTCCTTCATAAACTTATCAATTTCGGCCATGAATAATTCTTCAAATTCTGTGACACCAGGTCCATACACATGTAGTGCGTGTATAAATTGCTTTTTGGCATTTCTATGGAAGGCAGCGGAACCGTATTTCGTTGACCCAACAGTCTGACTCATTGTTAAGAAATATTGACCATAAAACGCATCTGGCCGGTCATTGAATTGTTGCTTATATGTTTTATCAGAAAAGGCCTTCTTTATCAACTGTGAGCTATTCAGAACAATAACATTTTCCCAAAGCATTTTTACAAGGAATATTTCTCCATATTTCTCTGCGTAGGTCCAAAATTTTGAATACATGTTTTCGTGTCCCAATTCTAATATACATCCGAAAACTGGTAATCCTTTTGGCCCATCAATAACTATAATATTTTGCTTAAATTTTGCGATAAAGAAGTATGACGCAAAAATACAAAAACAAACACAAATTATTTCAAGAAACATGATGTATTATCATTTAGAAACTGACACCCTATGCTTAAAACCAATAAATTAAAAGTCCCAATATATTTGGTTTATCCAATAATCAGTACAACTAAAGTGAATTGAACCGACAAGTTGAAATGCAGTAGTGCATTACGTTTACGTTAAACATTAATAAAAATGACTTTGGTGGCCGCTTTATGACTTTCTATTTCGTTTTATTGAACATTTCATTTTTTGCTATAAAATCAGTACTGATTTTTGTACATGAACGTGAATAAATAATTATGAGCTTCGCTATGGCGTTTGTGGACATGTTCCCAGAGCAGAAGAAACCGTATTTAAAAATCATCAGAATGCATGACCCTACACGTAAGTTTTTTTTTCTAGTTTATTCAAAAGAGAGCTCAGTACTATTTTTGAGGTCAAAAAGTTAATATGTCAGTGAATAAAGGGAAATACATTACAGTTTATTCGTAAACAAGTGCTATGTTACACAGCTTTAAACAATTAGTGTATGATTACTAGGGCACAAGGGACATATCCGAATGATGGCCCCGGTCAAATTTTTAATAACTCAGACATGGTGTTTTGAAGGTACTGGAAATTGGATATTTCTCTGTCATACTAATTCTTTCTTGTCTGTGTGTAGAAAATGAGAAGTATTTTTTTGAGTTTTCACCCGAAACTAATTATTTTGGTAGCTTTGTATGTATTTGTGACTCTCCGAATGGAGGTGAAAAAGTTAAAAATCAAGCTTTGACAGTTGGCGCCAAACAAGTAAGAAATTTCGGATAAATTTTGTGGAAAATCTAAACGTATGACAGATACTTTTTTGGTCATTTTTGAAAATGCCATTGTATGTTTGTGTTATTATTAAAAGAATTTGGCGGATTCTGGAGTATGCTGCACCTTCTTGAATATTTTAAGGAGCAATGCATGCAAACTATCATTTTCTTCAATGTATGTTATATATCATTGAATAATGCTGTGCAACTGGTTATCTGCCTGTGAAACAGATTTTGAAATATTTTGATCTGTGTTTCTTGCCACACTGAAATACAAAATTGTTCAATTTTAGGTCCCCTGCCCCCTTTTAGAATGACAAATTATTAGTTAATAAGACGATTATATTTTGTCATTCTAATTTTTGTGGTATAAAAATCATCATATTTCACTCGTGGCTACCTCCACTCATGAAATGTTTATTGTCATGAAAATAAATCATGTATTTATAGAAAAAAAACTTGAATCAAGCATTTAGTAATTTTCATACTTTGAAGCTTAAAATAACGAGGAGAGGACAAAGTTTACGTGTACTTAAACTTTATAAACTTATGGTTAATGATTTAGGTATTCGTGTAGCAAGGTCAAAAGGTGAAATGAAACGATCGTGTGATTTTGTTATTATAGACGACAAATCTATTCTACTTTTTATATAAAGTTTACTATCTGATTGATTTGCATAACATATTTTACAACATTTTAGTAACAATTGTAGTTATTTAATATATATCTTTTTGTATTTTTTTCAGTGAATGTGATGGTATTTTGGCCTACCGCCTGGTGTATAGAACTGTCCAATACAAGTGACTCGCCTAATGTTTATCTCCTTACGCTGTTCTTTCTTGAATCATTTATTCTACACGGTGCAGGACTTATTCTAAATGATATATTTGACAGATCGATTGACAGTCAGGTGATTATTTCAATAACATTTTTAATTGTTCCTTTTTTCCATAATACAAACAAAATAAGAAAACAGATACGTTTTAATCAACACATTTTAATTATATACATGTATGTTATAATTATGCGCTTTGACACAACTGGAAAAAGCTGTATGTATGTAACGTCTAATTTCATTGGATAATATTGTAACGCCGATTTACATTGGATAATGGTGTCATGACAACTAAACATGGAGCAAATGTGAGATGATATCAAGTATAGTCTATTCTAATATTAGAAAGCAATTGTGCACCGTTATGAATTCGTTACAGGCCATATACTGACAGAAGCTTTAAGAAACAAACAACAAAACGACAACAAAAAACACACGTTAAAATGCAATCGCAACAATATAGACCCTGAAACTATTAAATAACAAAACACTGTATTAGTTGAAGTAAGTATATCAAATAATTTATGCGTCTAGCTGAATCAAATGCTACGAGAACTTTTATTGTTTTTTACTACTTTATCATGTATACTCATATCTATTTAAGTGGGGCGGGAAATTGAGAAAATAGTGCAAATGGTGATACAAGCATGAAACTTTCAGGAAATCATCTTTAGACCACGTAGATTTCAAAAGTGAAGTGGGCCCAAAAATAGCTCTACTCATTCAAGATGGCCGCCATTTTCAAAATGGCCGCCATATAAATTTGACGTACATGAATAGCTCATTCGGTCAAAATTTTTGTAACGACCTGAAACTTACACCATAACATGTTTAAAGTGACTCCTTTACAAAAATTAAATCTTACAAAATTCCGCTTTCTTACCTCTTGTCAATCCAAGATGGCGTCCAATATGGCCGCCAATTTTATGCAAACTTGTTATATAATTTCTACAGTATAATTGACATTACGCCGCCTGTCAATCAAGCTGGCAGGGGTCTTACACATAAGCCAATCGGAGATCGTTATCAGTTTCATGCTAAGATGTCTGAGAAGTCCGCCATTTTCCTAAGACAAGCTATGTGTAAAAGACAATGGTGCAGCAGTATTTATATTGAAATTTTGATTTTTTTTGTCAATTTGAAGCTATTAAAATATCTAAGTTACAAAATATCCTGACATATTGACAGATGGAGTCAGTTAGTTCATTTTACAAAGAACAAAAATATCAGTAACTTTTTATATATGAAGATAATAAGTTATATAGCAGGTAGGAAAGTTTAAACTGGCTATACCACATTGCATTAAAGAAGAAAAAAGTTTTAACAAATACTCTATTCCTTCCTTCATTACAATTATGTCTTTTCATAATTACATAATATATTATAAGGTCTCGGAATATCCAGAAGATATGACATTTTTTGTTCGTTTATAACATATTGTCAATAAAATGCTGCAGTAGAAAAAAGTACCTGCAAATAAAATGAAAAAATATGCAATAAATATTTCAGGTGAAATTATCCTACCAAATTATTTCTATTAAAGCTCAATGAATTAAGATTAAATATTTTAATACATCTGCTTCAATAACATCATATCTGATCACGGTTTTAATTTAAAGTTGGTATGGTATGGTATGGTATATGTGAATTTTATTTTGAAGTGAATAATATTGCGTTTTATCACGAAAATATCTAATGTACAAATAAACATATAATCATATGTCATACAACAAAGTTACGCATGGGCAATTTTCTCATTTAATTTTGACAATTTATGCGCAAATGCATTATATATAAGTGATTTCGCACATAAAACCCCAAAAAACATTTGTAGATGTTACTGTTTCATTGATATAATTTACTATTATATGTACCCCTACATCAATTTTCACTATCTTTGAATTTGTAAACTAAAATGATATTTTGTCATTAACATCTTCCTTGATGTCAGCAAGAAATATAACAAGATCTTTGCCTAACGTTTTATTCACCATTAATGCGTGAATACTTTTTTAAATACCATAATAGATTGAACTATTCAATAAAAGCATTAAAATGTTATATATACCAAATGATATAAGGTAAATTCATTAGTCACTTAAGTCGCATGACAGTTTCGTGTAAACGTCGGTACCGTCTTTTGTCTAAGGTTCTGAATGACCGGGTCACGTGAATCAGTGGGCGTCTCTGGCGTAATGTCAATTAATAGCACAGATAATGTTTAAAAAAGTGTTTCAACATATCAGGAATTATAAAATCATATATAAAGATATATAAAAAGGCAATAAATCAACAAATATGCTTTAAATACCAAACATGCACATAAATAAGATTGCCCATTAACGCATATTTAACTCCTTCACAATTTCATATTGAAAATATTAAAATTGCTTTTAAGCTAACTCAGTGATTTTTTTGTTTATAGTAAATATAAGGCTACTGTCACATCATCTACAGATATCAATGATATCACCTGACCTACATACAGTTTTTGATGATTTAAAAAAAAAAATTGTTACTCATAAATTATTTTATATCTATTTTTTTTATTTCAATAATAGGGCAATGATGACCCTATATCACGAAAAGGTCATAATTCTTTATAAACGTAGGTAATTGGGTGTTTCAATTTTGTCATAACATATATGATTTGTGAAATATTTGTAACAGCCTAATATCAAGTTTCTCAGAGAGGACTTAAATAACTATATATATTCCTATATGAGTCCATATAAACTTAGTCACCCCTGGTGCATTATAAATTTTGACCATCTTGTCCATGATTTATCAAATATTTGTAGAGTATTACAAGATTATAATGAAACATAATTAATGTCTATAATCCGGGTACTGTAGATTCAGAGAATACATTTATTTCATATGTCTGTGTAAAATAAGTGATACCCATTTCGAACCCATTTTAACTGCAGAAGCATCATACAGTTTTATGCATTTAGTTTAACACTAGAAGTTTGTATTGTGTTTTCTTATACAAATCAGTCTATAAACCCGGATGGCTCTATGAGCAAGATTCATTTAATATATTAAAGACACAAGCTGATGGTACATGCTTAGTATCTATGTTCTATGCTCTGTGCATGTTGCTTTTTGAGAAGACTTTTTAAACATTTTTACTATGTACAATCTATGTACACAAAGTGACGCAAAGAGCGCTTTATGTAACTTTTAAAGAGGTCTTTTCTACTAGACAATGTAACATACCGGTATGTTGAATATCTAAGTTCTAGGCATTGTAGATCTGCAAAAGAGGACTTACATGTGATTTCCTATATAAGTATTTCAAAACTAAGTGCCCCTTCTGGCAGGCCTTTTAATCATGCTCCTGCAGTCCAAAGTGGCTTTCCCTGGTATGTTACTTATGTTTGCATAGATTTAAAACTGTCTTAAAAATCTTCTCTGTAACTTAAGTTTACAGAACAGAAAAATTATCATGAAACATTACTTTGTGATACCTCAATTATTGGCATAGGACCAAATCACTAAGTTTATATGGACTCATATAGGAATATAACTATATGAGTCTTTGTGTGAAACAGTTCTGAGTACCTAGATATTGGGCATGTTTCCTGTAAAGCAACTTTTACAAATAGTTCATAAATCATAAATGTATGTGTCGAAAAAAAAATATTAAAGAGTTATGGCAATTTCCCTGCAGTGGATTTTAGGTGAGTGGTCTAGGATTGTTTAATGGGAAACATTAAACTTGAATAATTTTTGACAGACAGTTAATTTATATTTAAAATCATCAGCAACTATATGTGGGTCAAACGATACTATTGATATACATATTACACTACACATAGATCATATGATGTATCAGTCGCCTTAATTTTACTTTGTATCTTTTGAAAATACCATGCCTAGATATGTTATTCTATAAACAGTGCTGATTCAATTATACTTATATACAATGACATGAAAGTAGATATTACTTTGAATCGTACTTTAACAAGCCTTTCAGTAAGACTATGATATATCATGCAAAATTCATTTTTTTTCATTTTGTTGGCTTTAAAGCGATTTTTATCTTTTTCGTAATATATGCTGTGAAGGAATTAATTTTATTCGCAAATAAGACAATATTTAACGCATGTTTTGTTGATGTATATTCAGTCTACTATCGTTACAATTAACTGATGATATTAAGAATATTGAAACAAGTTATATCTTGCATGTATACACATGAATGTATGTGAATTTACTGATATTTTAGCACACCCTCTAGGCCTGAATGAAGACAAACAATTCTTAAGAACCATTACTTTTTAACAGTGAATATTTTCCTAAAAATTCGTAGAAAGTTTAACAAAAATAAAAAAAATGAAATTAACTTTATTGTTTTTGTTTTTCAATTATCAAATAAATTTACCCAACACACTTTGACAAAATATATAAACTACAGATTTTATGCTTACAATAAACACATAATATTAATTAAATATCATATACACTAAAAGAAACTAAGTAACTTTTTGAGTTTTATACAATGACCTATTAGAAAACCATGTTAGAGAAATATGCAAATATTAGCACTTTTTCTTTAGTATTTTTAAATATATTTTTTGGATAAATAACTTAAAAAGTTTGACTTACATTCTGGTTTACATTACAATATGATTATTCTTGACATGTTTAAACACTTTTATCGAAATTTGTGTAATTTGTGATATAAATTATATGACAAAAGAGATATATTAATTTTTGCATAAAATCGGCGGCCATATTAGACCCAATCTTGAATTCTGAAGAAGTATGAACGCGGAATTTATTCAAAATTTGAATTTTTGTAAAGGAGAGCCTTTATACATGCTTAAGTGTAATTTTTAGGTCTGTACAAAAAAAATCACTGAATGCACTATTATGAACGTCAAATTTATAGGCGGCCATTTTGAAAATGGCGGCCATCTTGGATGAGCAGAGATATTTTTGGGCCCACTTCACTTTTGGAATGTCTATAGTCTAAAGATGATTTCCTGAAAGTTTCATGCTTGTATCACAATTTGCACTATTTTGACAGGAGTTACCTTATTTCCCGCTCCACTATTTTAAGGAAATAATTTAAGCTTTTTTTCAATATATCCGTTTGAAATCATTAATTTTATTAGTGATATGTCTATGATGTACTTAAAATGTTGAAACACCTAATTTTATTTTGAAACAGAATTTAAGAATTTGTCGATGTGACTAAGAAAGTATAACAATCAATTCAATTTTTCTTAATATTTTCTTTCTTTATTTTTTTAATAATTTCAACTATATACATGTTTTGTCTAATACAATAGGAAAAATGCAGTTAATAATATTTTCATTTGTATTATTTGTTTTTGTAAAAAAATTTAAAAGCGGATTTGTTTAAAACATTTGAGTAATTAATAAAATACAGAAGAATAAAAAAAGCTCTTGATTAATTAACGGAAATAATCTGTAAAAGAACTTATTTGTCAATGTATCACCGGGACACCACGCTAATTATGTCTCATCAACCATTGAATATATTGATTGAAAACTTCATACATTTCTTCAAGATTTTCAGTGTCCAACACCATTAATTCTAGTATGACTAATTTCTAATGACTTTTTGGTCTTAATTGCTCCTATAGTTTATAACACATGTACGATGTGCCCATTTTTTACATTTATGACTTGTTACTCTTGTTATTTCATGCTTAACTGTCGGAACAAGTCATAATATCATGAAGTTGTATTTTATTCAATCAAATTCATGGCAAAAGACAATACCTCCATCGACATAATTATTTGATTTACCAACAGGTGAAGCGTACTCAAGGGCGACCATTGCTAACTGGAGAGCTATCATTGACAAAAGCAAAATGTTATCTCGCCGTTCTTTTGTCAATAGGAATATTATTACTTTTGCAGTTTAATTACATATGGTAAATTATTAGCATTTATCTTGCAAATTCTGCTTAAAAAAGATACAAGTTTACTTTAAGTGTTCTGCAATACTAGTCATAAATCATCTTACTGTAACAAAGTAGAAATGATGAAAAAGAGATATCTTTAGACAGCAATGAAAAACATAAACTATGCAAAATACTTGCTGAATTATAAAATGATAAAAAAGTGCTACATCTCAATACCTTCCCAGCACCGGTGTGGGGAATAATCAATTCGTAAAGCGACATAAAACATATACAATGCTGAATTATTTTGTCGTCTTTTGGTTAAAGTTAAAGTTAATGCCCACTTTGACATCGTATTTAATTTTGTTTTGTTACATTTCAGCCTCTGGCTTTTGGCAATGTGTGCAATTTCTTCTACCATTTATCCGGTATCAAAAAGATTCATGCATTTCCCGGAGATAGTATTAGGCAGGTGTCAAGTTTTGGTTTGAATTATGAGATTTTTATCGATATTCTGAGCGGTATTTGTGATTATAGTTAAGAATCGCTGTACTCCTGGACTTGCTGCACTGCTAAGACTTCTGCAGTATTGGACTTGCTGCACTATTTGACTTGCTGCACTATTGGACCTGCTGCACTATTTGACTTGCTGCACTATTTGGACTTGCTGCGCTTTTTGGACTTGCTGCACTGTAAGACTTGCTGCACTATTTTAGTTGCTGTGCTTCTTGGAATTGCTGCACTTCTTGGACTTGCTGCGCTTCTTGGACATGCTGCACTCTATAAGACTTGCTGCGCTTCTTGGACTTGCTGCACTATTAGACTTGCTGCACTATTGGAGTTGCTGCGCTTCTTGGACTTGCTGCATTATTAGACTTGCTGCACTATTGGAGTTGCTGTGCTTCTTTGACTTGCTGCGCTCCTAATACTTGCTGCGCTCCTTAGACTTGCTGCGCTTATTGGATTTTCTGCGTTCCTTAGACTTGCTGCGCTTCTTTGACTTGCTGCGCTCCTTAGACTTGCTGCGGTCCTTAGACTTGCTTCTTTTCTTGGAAGCGGACCGTTGTTAGACTTGCATCTTTACTTGGAAGCGGACCGTTGCTAAGGCTCAACTCTTCACTAGAAACCAGACCGTTTTCTTGACTTGTTGCTTTATTCGGTTCCTTCACTGGACCTGCTCACCAACAAGGAAACATGCTGAAAATAAGCTTTCTGACAATATATGAAGTTTTTTTCGGAATCAAATTTTTTTTTCTTCTTTTTTTTTATTTCCTTTTCATTTCATATAAATACACAACGCGCAAACCGGATAGAACGCCACATTTGTGACGTCACGTCAAAACAATAAATAAAACAAAATGGCGGACATTTGGGTTTCTTTTCAAAAATAAAACAGGTATACATGTGTGATATGTCGCACTTTTCGCGGTATACATATTCCCGCGAATTTTTATATCCGTGAAAAAAGTTACGTGTAACAAAGCCTTGAACATCTGTAGTTTCAACCAATTAGATTATCAGAATGTCGCAATACACGTTGCTTATACCTGCACTAATCAATTGTTTAAATTGCAATGTAAAATGCTAATTGCCTTACTCTAAACATTAGCAGGGAAATATACCACCTATGCTCCGGTCTAGTAATAGATACCTGTTTGGACCCCGAAAGGAATGAGGAAAAAAATTGCTTTTTGAAAGTAACCATTTTTTACAGTATAAACAAGAAAAAATAAAATGCAATTCATTGAATAAATGATATGTTATAAGTCTCGCCTTTCCCAGAGATTGCATCATTTAGAACATTTAGACTGTTTAATGGAAAATATTTAGGAAACAGTTTAATAATAATTATACATGTAGTGTACAAATGACTTTATTTTAGTTCTCCGAGTGCCCTGCTGGGTTCCTTGTCGTAAGTTCTGTGTTTCTGTATTTTGGGACTGCGTTCAGTGAATGCCGCCATTTGATTTGTGCTCTCATATTTTAATAATTTCAGCAAAGTAGCCTTACTAATACTACAATGTTAACTGCATATGTATACGCATAATAATGTTAACAAAGATTGTTATTTATTCATAAATGTTGAACAATTCCCAATATACATTTTGTAACATAATCTCACTTTTTGCTTATATTTGAAGAAAATTTCTTTTCGTTTAAGTTAAATCAGTCCATATTTTCTCCAATTTCGATTTCCTTGTAATTTAAATTGATAAAGAATAAAACTATGCATTTACTTCCCATAAAATGCGTTTTTTCCACATTTAAAACTATAACACGTGTTTTGTTTCAATATAATAGACATTTCAAATTTTATTGAATTTCCGGACAATTAACATTATCAATGGTACCTCGCGGCCTCATTTATCCAGGATTTACTTAAGAAATACATGCTTTATTCGAATCAATGTATTTCGTTATAATATAACAAAAATAGCTGTGATTCTTATATTTTTGAGTAATATCATAAAATTATGTAAATCTACAATTCATGGTTATCGATTTGTGCTTAAACATTAAACTGTACGTATATCTTTAGAAATAAAATACATTTCAGTTTTTTTATATGCACCGAGAAAACGCTTTGATGAACTATGAACTATGCATTTCAAAAAGATTAAACCACTTGAGTTCATATCTAAATATCATATCATTATCATATCTGATAATTATGTTGAAAAAAAAAATGTACAGACTACTTCATGTGCTGCCTAATATACGTAATTTATATATGATTCTCATTTACGTGTTTTTTCTGGCATTAAGCATTTAATGTTCTTTGACGTATATTTGTACGTCTGTGTTTGTCTGCAATTTAATAAACGTGCACGTCATTGTATTTATCCTGCCAAAATTAGTTCCTTTGAAAGCAGAAATAAAATGGTAAATATCGCTCATTTGCTTTTATCATGTTTATTGAATTTGGTCTGTAGATAAAAAGTGCAGCATCATCTATGACCCCCACCCCTTTAGCCCTCAACACTAAAGTAAAATAATGATCCTGATTTAAACAATTAACAGTATTAAAATAAGAACGTTATTGACGCATGTTCTTAACTACAGTGCTATAATAATATTTCACTGCTTATTATATTTAATCAATGAATAATTGTAAGTTTGCTTTCCCTGCATAAAATATGTGTCAATTTATGATATATATTCTATGTTTTCAGGTATAAGTTGTAGTTTTTCTGTGTTGATATCTCGGGTTGCTGTGACGGGAGGACTTGATTGGTCGATATCAGTCTTGTTTCTAGCTGGTGTGTTATATTGGACTGTTTCATATACAATCTATAATAGCCAGGTAAGTGTTTTGTCTTTCCATTTGTGTCTTCACAAGCTGTTTCAGATATTTATAAATGGCAATATTGTGTGTGTTTTTAGGTTTATTTTAGCTCGGCGCCGGAAATTCCATATGTCCGAGATCTCAGCGTCCATGCCGGTCCACTCTAGTAGTCTCATCGGGGACGTCTTTTTCATGCCGATCTTCCTAAGTCCTGTTCTTCGTTCGGTGGAGGAAAGACAATACCGGAAAAGCATCAAGTTCCGTGACGGCTGCAAACAGGCGGTTGACATAAAACGGCTCTTGTTAGCGCCACCCTCCAGAGTTAGTCACGACAGGTCAACCAATCACCTCTGGTACTTAAGATGATTTGACCTTGACCTGCCGTGTGCCTTCTCCGCGACGTGCACGCCTCTGGAGGGATTTGGAGAAGAAATGGCAATACCAATACTATTATACTTTTATAGCATAATCTTTACCATTAACTTTCATGTATCAAAATGTAGTTGAAAATTAAAATCTTCTCTTCTCCAATAATGAAAAAAATTATCTGGTAATGGTATACAGTCAGTTCTAACGTTTTTAGAAAAAAAATTGTGAACAGTAATTCTGACTGAAATCCGTATTTCAAAAAAAAAGCAATTTGATTGAAGAAAAAGTATCTGGTAAAAAGTGATCTCTCGGAAGCATTAAAAACAGATTTATTACATGAAAATTGCAGGCTCGATTTTATTGAATCTGTACATGGGCGATAAGGAAAAAGAGCAACATCCCTCAGCCCCCTAGCACCAGTTTGAGCGGTACTCAATTCACAACATTTGAACGTGCTGGACTCAATGATCTCAAGTCTCAAAATGAATTTTATATGAATATTTCAGGATAAACATATTGATAAAAGAATTGGTGTCAAATCAGCGGCTTTGAAGTTTGGAAATCTAACAAAAATATTGCTGTGGTCGACGAGCTTGGTGTTCGTAATCTCTCTTGTTATAACTGGATACATATTTCAACAAACGTTGCCATATTTTGTGTCCCTACTTGTGTCATATGCAATGATATCACATAAGGTAAAGATTATATATTTCTGTCAGCTCGTTTGCGTAAAAACTGTTTATTTAGATAAATAAAATGCATGCAGTGTATATTAGATTATATAAGGTGATATTTATTAATAATGCGGTAATGTTTGTGGTGATGGTGGTGGTGGTAGTTTTCATTCCGGATCACGTCAGTAAGCCACATTGAATTTACCGCAGCAAAGTTCAACCATCGCATGCGAATGACTGTAGGAAGGTTTCATGATCAACCATAACGAAAGTGATCTGCACCGTCCGGGAATCGGACCCAAGTTTCCCAATTCATAGTCAAACGCTCTACCCATTGAGCTAACCAAACGTCTGTATCAATAATTGATGTACATTTTCAACGGTTAATACAGAATCTCTATGCACTATTTGGTCAGACGTTTTAACATTTTAAAATTTTAAATCATAATTATTTATAAAAATAATTCAAGTTGTTAGATACTTATTTATGATACAGTTATAATACTACTGGTGTTCAAACATTTGTTTTGTTTTATATTAACTGTGTAACTGTTAGCAAGCATGCATGTTTTAATATGAAAATTTGAATCCCTTATTGATTTTTGTACTTCTTAAGAGCATACCATGTCCAAAAATATATAATAAATAATTTCAGTTTCGATATCAATAAAATAATTGTTCAAGATTGTAAGAAATCTTTGACTTACTTACTTTTCACATTTCTCCTTATTTTCTGAATGTTGACCCATATTTCTAACTTTCTTAATGTTCACATCTTTTTTTCATATTTTTAAGAATAATTAACCACAATTATGTTTTAAATTTCAGCATAAACTCAACGTAAAAATATTTCTTTGCGACTAACATTTTAATTTTTTATTGTTTTCTTATTTTTTCAGATAGCCTGTGTAGATCTTAATGACCCTGAGTCTTGCTTTAAATATTACTCTTTCTCATCAGTCGGACTGGTTATATTACTTGGAATATTAGCAGGAAATATATTTAAACAGCAACAAGTGTTATCAGAGTCTGTTTGAATGATGTTAATTTTCTGAAACATAAAAACACACGAAATGAATAAATAAATATTATTTATGAGTCGTCATGAACTTTAATTTAACCCACTTTAATTTTCACAGCTTCATTTACTATCTAGTATGTATTATTTGATGTGAATTTAATGGTCTTTTTTAGATTAATTCACATTTGTAAAAGATACAATCATGTCATTTATTTTTGCAACTACACGAAATATTATTACACTTGTTTATATTTTATAAAACATGTATGGTGTTTTGCGTTTATAAACATCTTAAATATTCAGTTCATTTATTAGCAATTCAAATGTCTTTGGCAGCTTACAATATGAGCAGTCAAAATATCTCCTTTGTCTCCAGACAAACATTCAGATTTAAATTGCTTATTATATATCAGCTTTGAGATACATTCTGAACCAACGATATCTAGTTTTGTATATACTGGTCACATATTTCTTGTTTAAGGTGCACTACTATTGTTATCACAATAAGAGAGTATAGGTTCACACATTCGTGTCCGGACTAATAACTTGGCATACATGTCTTCTTCATCAAGACGACTTGTTGGATCAAAAACCCATGTCTCTGCCTCCAAGGTCAAGGTCACACTTATAATATGAAAGATGTACACATTCCTGTTCGGACTGTAACTTTGTTGTTCATTGAAGGATTTTTAAATAATTTGGCAAAAGTGACTACAACACCCAGACAATGTGTCGCAGCTAAGGCCCATATCACAAAATGATTTTATGTATGTTTAGATATGTGTAGACATGTGTTATAGATGTATGTTTGCTGACAATTTGCTTAAACCTAATGTGTGTATGTTAACTTAATCGTATCTCATTGATTAATACATCTTTAATGTAATTTTGAAATGCCAATTTTCATTCCTTTTTTATACAAGTAAATAAATTATATGAAAATATATTTCAGATGATACAATATCTTTTTTTAAATGTTTAGGTAAGACAAATTACAAGAATTTGTTAAATTTAATTTAAAGTAAAATTTGTATAAATTCAATAAGATAACAAAGTAAACAAGCAACTTATGCATTAGGATTTCCGAAATAGCATGTTTATCTTACTAAAATTGGGTGAATATAAATCACAATGTCTTATTAACTTTATAAAAGAGGATAATTGATTGATTTTTTGTGGAAATGCAAAATTATTAGCATATAATTGCACGTCGTTCTTTAATTGTGATGTTTTGTTTCATATCGCGTTATCTTTTATTGCTTCTACTTTTGAATGAAATTGCTATTTTAATATCATATTTTAAGGTTAAAAAATAGATAATATACATGTATTTAAAAAGAAATATCTCAGCAAAATCATTTAAAAAAAACAACAACAAAAAACAACAACAAAATCAATTTCTTTGTTAAGAGGAAAAGATCTAATTTTCTTTAAGATTATCTGTATGTTTAAATAAAATTCAAGGAAGGTAACCCAAAAACTAGATCGGCGAATTCCCTTATAATGTTTCCTTTGTAGCAAATTTTAAATAAAAGCTATGTAGACTCTTTTTGATGTCTGAAATCGCCCAGACCATTGTTTATCTGAACTGGTACCATGTAAATTTTGGCAATGCATTTAAATTTAATAAATATGTTCTTACAATAGTTCTATAGCTGCGTGCAGTATTTAATATGTCTGAAATGTAACTTCGATATCAATCATTTTTGTCTTTGGTGTATTCTTTTAATGTTTGAAAACAATTGAGATATATTATTTGTAGTTTCCAGACATTTATGCCTAATGGAATTTTGATGGTTCATTTTAATTTCGGCTTTGTTTACTGAATAGAACATAGCTTTTGTGAGCCAATCTGACTAAGATCTATTTGAGTTATTTGTTGCTTAATGCATAGCGTTATTTAGAAGCTGATTTTATTCAGATTTACATGTGTACTAAATCGTTTATAAAATAACACATTTGAATATATGCATGGTTCTTTTACGACCCGCATTAGGAACGAGCAATCAGTTTTTCAATGTCGGTATCAGAGTGTGACATGTATTTAGTTATATGTTTTATTTCTTAAATTACAACAGAATCCATATATTTTTATAATTATATTCATATCGTATGGATATTTAAACGTTCTATATGAAATCGTACACGTGATATAAAAAGTATCACTTAACAATGGAAATTCACCATCCATAGCAATATAATCAGGGTTTGTGGACGTATATGCATTAAAGTAACCTAAAACAAAAATAGAATGACCCGGATAGTCACTTTTGAAAATAGCAAGCTCGTTTTCGATGATATCAAACAATGCCTCATTCGAATGTATGGACGAATTTTCTGGAGAAATATAATAATATTTGAGTATCCAAATACGTTTAACTGTAACTTCTATTTCATTTTATCAAGTATTTTTACCGTTAAATGACATGACTCCAAAGACCTTGTATTCATGTTTTATCAATGTTTGTTTATCACTCTAGTAATAAAATTTCCGCCATCTTGTATGTTAGCTTTCGTGACGTCATCACTGTATTTGATTTATGTCGTCATCATTTTTTGTTGTTTTACAATCTGATGTCCGTAAGGATTTGTAGGATTTTATAATTTTATTCACCAATAAGTTTTCCGCACCACACGTACCCCGCTACCTTATTATGTTACCTGAACAAAGTTTGCATTATTATAAATGTTCTACGATTATTTATTACGCATGTTTAATATTATTTTTATGTTGTTTATTGTAATTACATTTAGTGTGGGATGTGTGGGATCCGATAAAACTCCTTTCGAGTATTTTTCCCACAAGTTCCTACAAAGTTGGTACTGTGGGAAATTCTTGGTATTTAAGCGTTGTTTTACTGTGGGATCTTCACTCCGCAACTACCAAACAAGAAATCTATTAGTTTCCGTACATTCTATCGTTCAAGTAATACTAAATTCAGAACTACATACTTTGGTAAATTTGTTTTAAATTTATATCTTAAAAAAGGTTTATTAAATTTCTTAAATAATAAAAGTAAATGTTTCGCATTTAAAACTTAGCATTTGTATTTTGATTGTTCGAGAATCAGCGGTAATTCTTAATTAAGTTTATATAAAATGCTGATTAATTTTTATCCTTAATAAAGATTTAAACTTAGAATATAGTTTAAAGATCTAAGTATCATTATCTTTGTCTAGATTTATATAGATCTAATTCAGTAGCTTTCCATTTTTTTCTTAAAATATTTCTTTCATTCCGTCACCGACACCTCCCCACACACAGAAATTTTACGAACGTTTAATAACATTTCGTGATTGAATTTATCTCGAGATCCGTATTCTGTCGTTTGATTTATTGCATAATTTTGCTCAAGAAATATTGTTGAGGCGCTCGGAAAATTAAAATCATAGAAAACTTGAAAACGTATTTATTTATTTATTATATTAACAAGAATTCCTCTATACTGTAAACCAGTCTATAAACAAGTCCTGTCTTTATTTTAATGCGGAGTCACCCTATCAGCATCGAGCTATAGGGATATTGTGATCATCCATGTCCGTCCATGTGTCCGTCTTAAACAGCATATGAGCGTTCACCTATGTTTACAGTGCATATACGGCCCTCATCAAAGAGAGTATAATAAAGTTCCCCGTTTTATCTACGTCGAACAACAAATATTGTCATATGAAAGCCAACAGATACCTGTCGGCTCAACACATAAAGTGATCGCATATTGTCCGTTTAATATAAACATTTGATTTTCATCAGCGAGTCCCATGATTGAGCGCTGCCAAAGATAATCGCAACAACATTAACTTTAGATTTAACAAGTAGCCATAAGAAATTGTGACTAGACGATCTTAGTTGTTTAATTTCTGCATACTGAAATATAATATTTTTGACAAAAACAGATATTCCACCTGAATTTCGTTTTGCATTTTTAGTTAATGGTCTAATAACATCAAAACATGTATACCCAGTTAATGAAAACTCACCATAACTCTTAGCCCATGTTTCTACAAAACCAATAATGCTAAATTACTTAATATAATCAACAAAATATGTTGAATCACAAATATCGTTTCTTCCAGTCAATTTTGATGATAAACCAGAAATACAGTTGTTCTGTATTAAATAAACTTGCTGTGTTTAAAACCTCTAGTATAATGAACATTTCAAAAGTTTTGTCGCTGTGTTTATAAATTATTTTGTAGGAATACTGCAACAATAAACTGTATACACGTGAAAAAGGTATTATTAAATATCATGTAAAGATTACTGTAAATAAGAAGATAATAATTAATATACAATGGAAAAATATCACAAGAACGCCAGCGACCAGCACCGTATACAAACGAAGTCAACGGCACAACCATGCCAACAACAAGTTATCAAAACATGACACCTTAATCAACACACTGACTGTGCCGAAATATATCATCAAAATACCCAGATGTTGTCAAAGTATGCGAATGGATGCTGTACATTATTCTAAAACAAATGACCCCTTGGTTCGTCCTCATAGTAAAGAAATAGTGCGTCGATATGACCCCTTGGTTCGTCCTCATAGTAAAGAAATAGTGCGTTCATTACGACGTTCACATCCGTTCTTGCTGCTTGCCGGCCGGTGTTTGCACGACCATTTAGATACTAATATTTTATCAAAAGCGTTCATTCCATCTGTAGACAACTGTTTTGTTTTCAGACGTTTCACCACATCGTTAATTTACCATCACTCCCAGGGGCATATTCTATTTTGTTTTAGCTTGAAACAAAACTGTAATTTTGTAATGGTAGTGTTTCAGCCGATATTTATTTTTTGTTTGTTGAAAATATATGACCAATGATCTCATTTAAACTTTAAGACTGCTTCACAAAATAAAAAGTCGTCTCGTCGAGAAAGTTCTGCCTGCTTTGTTGCGGTTTTCTTGAAATATAAATATATTTATAACAACCAGGTTATAAAAAATATAATTGTACTTTTGATAGTATTACTAAACAAATCTTAAAGAATATTTGTAAATTGTAAACAAACTGATACCAAGCTTTTATGTCAAGACAACGAGGCAGGGACATAACTTTTGGATAATTCTTCGGATGTAAAGAAAATCATCATTGTAAGATTTAGTGAATAAAAATAATTTTTTACTGTTATTTTTGTTTTCTTAATAGTTTGTTTGTTTGTTAAATGATAAGACTTTCTACCATTGCGACATTAAATACCATAACGACTTTATGCCATTACGACTTTATACCATCCTATTTTTATAAAATAAACGACATTACACCAATTTGATGTTATATAATTACGACATTGTTCAATTTCAGCTTTACTCACAAATACGACTTTATAACCATATGACTCCTTACCATTACGACATTATGCCATTTCGACTTTATACCATCATGTTTTATATCATAAACGGCATTATACCAATTCGATTTTATACAATTACGACATTGTACCATTACGACTAAAGTATAATGCAACTGCTATGGTTACCGCCCGAAAACACTTGCCTGATAATTATTTTTCATATCAAGTCAGTAACCTGATACAAAAATAAAACCCGCCCATTTTAACGGACTTTTTTCAGGTGCTTATATTCTCATTTTAACCATCATGTTTCTACAATTTTATCTCATACCCTTACGAGTCTTGAATTATTGATGCAATATTGATGCAATATTTATTTATTCATTATTTCGATTTCAATTTCAATTACGAATAAATTAGATAGCGAATAGTTAAACACCAACTAAATGAAATGACGTCATAATTTATATTGCAAATGACATTATCGATGCCCACGTCATATTATACATGTAAACAAAACAAACAGGCTGGACGATTTTCTTTCAGAAATTGTAAATGTTTACTTATTATTATTTAATAAGTGAATATATTGTTTCGTTAAAAAAATGTTTAATAGATTAGCTGCGTTTTTTGAATAAAGTAACGCTTCGACTTGATTAATTTTTGTGCACGTTCCTAAATGAAAATGAAATATGCGAGAGTGTTGCTCACAAAGGGCGAACATGTTTAGCACAGACAACAACTTAGCTATTTTCCGTACATTTCAGCACGGCTTATATGAATATTTATAAAGAATATGAAACTTTTAACAGGTTTTTCAAGTTAATGTTTCTTGGACATGTTTAAATCATGTTAATGTGTTGAAATGTTTGTGAAAACTTAAGTTTATTAAGAAAATCATTTATAGAGTATACACTACTATAAGTCTTACATTTCTTGGAAGAACATTATTGATGCTTTTTTGTCATTGCAATATAACATATCTTAAATTGTATACTGCCGTATATACAGTGAGGACAAGAAAGTCACAAACATTGCATGTTTTTCTTTCCTTGCTTCCTAGACTTTTGGACATGCATATTCATAATCATATTGTGTTTTATTTCCAAAGGCATACTTCTCGATTCAAATACCATTATTTCATTAAAGACCCTTGGAGCCCCAAAAGTGCTAAAATTCATATTTTTCAAAAGCCTTTCACTTTTGATGTTTTGTTTTAGTTTCCTAAAAAGAACTTATTGGCCAAATAGCAATCGCCTTTTGCTTCTATGGCATATAAGTAATTAGTATAGCTATAGTAATTAGGCATTGAATTGAATGGAAGTCAAAATACCACTTTGTTTACATTTTGTTATATGTATGACATATTATATCACTTCAAGCACTTATCTGTTCAAATGACAAGCGCGTATCATGCTTCAGATCCTTCCTTAAAACATTACAAAACAATAATTGCAATTTTTAGATTTATTAACGGATAATGTGCCTTTAAAATGTATACAATTTTACTGCGCAAAAAGATTATTATATACATTAATTACTTGGTACCCAGTACTGTGCACGCTGGTATTTCACTGAAACAACGTAAGGGGCTTAAATTCAAAACAGTGAAATTATCAAAGTGGTAATTTCACTGTTTCAAACAGTGAAATTACCAGTTTTATTTCACTGATATATTTCTATAAACCACCGAAAAGCATGTAATAAAATTTATTTACTGCGCAAAAAGATTATTATATACATTAATTACTTTTCTTATCTGATTAAGCGCGCCTGTCATCATTGAGCTTCAATGGAAAGAGATTAATACATGTATTATACTCTTGAGAAAATGATATATAAAATAAGTTATCAAGTTGCCGACGGTTAAACGGGAAAACATAGCCTGAGTGACAAATATTATATTCGACTCTCATCCATTCTATATTCTCTCATACATCAGATAATCAATTTGTTTAAC